GTTGTCGGAGTGTTTTACGCGTACATATATATATATATTGTATATCATTGGATATATTTTATAGGTTAGACCATACGTTTTTGCTAAACCGATGAATCGAGCGATGAAGTTATTACACGACAACGTACATCTTATATCGATATTATGATTATTATTAAGGAACGGCACCTTTCTTTCTAGCTTTTCGTCGATACATCTGAGTAAGTATCTATATCTATTTACTGTGTTTACTGTGATAACATATGTATTACTTTTGTCGACGCGTTCACACGATTTATATTCGTACATTTCTCCGATAAATTACATCATTCGCGCTCGTCTCTACATAGATTTACCTAGATTTATGTCACGTCGAAATAGCTGTGATTTACCGATTGATTTATAATCCTTATTCTCTTAGGAAGATTATTACGATATAGCATATTAAATAAATTGGACGAATTAAACACGACTTCGAATATCATGTAAATGCACCAATCTTACATTTCTTTGTCCCTTATCCAAGACTTACTTCGCGCTTGCAATTTCAATGAGATTCAAAACAACTCTCTGTTTCTTATTTTTTCATTTAATATAAGATAATTGATAATATTTATTTTTTTTTGATAAGATAAATATTTCCAAATTTTCCAATTCTTTTATATTTCTATTTTCTAATTCGCAGAAATTTTTATTTTGAAGATAAATAATATGTTAAGAATTCAATATATCTAAAAAACGCATAAAAAAGAGAAACTAATTTTTTTACTCAAATATTTTATAAAAATTTAAGCAAATACAATTTCTGGGAGATTACATTAGTCTATAAAAAACGATCGTAAATGAGATCGAAACCGATAAAAATCCACGTGTGATCATGTGAACGTGATGATGTTATTAAACTCAGTTACGATCTCTATTATCTGCCACATTAAGTTAAAAAAGAACTTTGACACCATAATGAGGTTTCATTTCGATGTCTCACGTTACATTTCAATTTTTATTTTTTGGAACAATAAGTCGATAAAAAATAAAATAACATCAATTGCATCAAATTCAAAAAATGAACAACATGCTTTGGTATATAAAAAATACTTAGAATAACATGTTTTATCGATAACAAATTAATAGAAATGAATAAAAAAATAAAAATATATTATTTTTGTAAACAAATTCTATCTTGTAAAGTACAATAGAAAGGATATTATTTTTATAAGTGCATTTTTAAATTTAAAATACTGCAAGATCGTTATTAAACGTGAGAAAAATCTGAGTTTATAATCACGGGGAGCGAGTTAAACTTCAAGAAATTAGTCGATAATAAAAAAGTTGCATTCAATATTATTCGGCATGCTGTAAATAAATCATCTCGACTTATCGCGGACGTTTTTGCACGTATCTTCGGTACACCATCTGCGAGTATTCGCTTATATTGCGATTGTTTCTTGTGTGAGAAACCGAAATACGCTACTTGGGCAAAACGCAAAACGCCGCAGTCGTAAAAACGGCAAACGTGACTGGAGCGTTACGCGCGCGACGAAGATTACGGGAAGAAAACGGAAGTGGATTCGGCATAATGCGGGCTGGCGCAAGCGCACTCCGGCGTGTGCACATTATTTTTGCGCTTACCGTGGGGGTGTGTCGGTGGATAGGATGTACATCTGCATGCAATTCCGCGCGCGAGAATACCGCATACGCGCAAAGAACGGCACTCGCATCTTAGATGCATCGTACATACAAATGCGATGCAATAAAAATAAACCGTCCTTTACTTATACATGTACGCCTATACACGAGATATAAACCGCAGCTCCATCAGCTGTCTCATTAACCAAAGCAAAGTTCAAAAAAACATTTAGCTGTTCAATTATTTATAAAAGTTTATTATTTAACGGTATAGCTATTGTTTTAAAATACTTTATAAAGAAAAAGAAAAAGGGAGAGAGAACGAGATTCAATTTGTAAAGGTTTTTTTTTCGTCGAATAAAAATAATATAATGTCTTTTCCACCCAATTTTTTCCAATTTTATCGGAGATTCTATTTGGAAAATTTGGAAAAATTTAACTCATATATTTGCGCCAGAAAATTATTCGTAATCTTTTGTGTCAGTGTATTCTCTTGCATGCTTTGTGCATTCTTTGCATCCCTTACGCCGGTCATGAATACGCAATCTTCTAGTTTGCACACCGCAGAAAGAATCCGGTACACCGTGATACACAGATTGCGAAAGCCCACCCGACAAATTTCTATCGTTTATACGTGCCACTGGATCTCGATACCGGAAAGCATTATCGGTGATGACATTAAAGGCGTGTTACCGGAGACTCGAAGCAAACGACATTCGATATCTCTGAAATCGTAACACCGTTTTAAATTGCCGCTGCAATTTGCGCATGACTAAGCGTCACAATGCTTTCCTTGTATCATATATCAAAGGATATTATCAATAAATACCAATCAAACATAAACTATGATTATTGCCGTTTCGCAAACGTAATATCGCGTGTTATCCTTGATGTATCATAAATATCAATTCATTGTTTTATCAAATATCACACAATCGATATATCAACGTACATAAAGATAATTACAATAAAATAAAATATATATCAGAATAATAAAATACGCTACAAATTAAAGGATTTTAATGTGGATTAAAAAACACGGAGATAAACAAAAAAATAAATAAAAAAATAGGTCTCAAAATTAGATCATAAAAATTCATACGATAATAATATGATATAATACGATATAATAATTTGACCGAATTTGATGATATCGCAGAGACGTAAAAATGATATAAATTTTAAATATCACCGTACCACACATCCAATGGCAATGATGCGCGAAAATAAAGATGAAAACGGAAGAACAACAAAGAATCGCAAACTTTGGCAATACGGCAAAATTCGCAAACTGCGGCAAACCTGCCGGTTGAGTAAAGGCACGAAAAAGTTTGTATCTTAAACTCGGTGAGAGCGACCGAGTAAAAAAGCCTCCGTACGAACGAAACTTGGAATTTTAAGGGTAAACCGTGAAGATTTACATAACCATATAAACGTTCGCGCACGTTTCGGTTGGATCGGTTAGGGACTTCGCGCGTAAAAATACATGTCTTATCGTAAGTTCACCGAACTGTATAAAATCTAATCAACCTTAGTATTTATATGGAGAAATATTAGTTTTTCTTAAATTATCGTATTATTATATATTAAATAATAATAATAATAATATTTATTTCATATAATCATATTTATCTAAAATAATAATTAAACTCTATAGAGAATCTGATTAAATAAGCTTTAGAGATTTTTTCTGAATTTATGTATGATGTTAGAATTGCAACGCGCTTCAATATACCGAGGTAAGAAATAAACTGATCGATCGCAATGTATTACGTTTGTAGAATGCACATTGCACGAATCCGGTAAGCAAATAAGAAAGATGAATGTTACGACTAATGAGGTGTAACAAGTACAACCGGGCAACAACAAGTGAAATTGGGCGCTACAATATGCACACGGTTTTGTATATCGCGTGTCGATTTTACGTCATACATTACACAACATGTAATGCAATCGCGTTTGCGACAGCAAGAGATTAATGACCAAGATCTGCATCAAACAACCGGTTCTTTAGATCACGCAAATGCAATATGCCCTTCTTCATTGGAAATAATGTTTATCTTTTTTTCTACAATTATTATGTAGATTATGTAGATCAAATTAATAAAACATTACATTGCGTAAAATTATTCTCTCTCTTCCATACAATGAAAAAAAGAACTAATTAATGGTAAAGATGTTTACAAAAGATAGTATCGAGTCACATTTTTATATTTTACATATTGTATATATGTATATATATCATTTAAAAGATATACTATAATATAACATATAGCGCTTTAAATTACGATTTTAGAGATAAATTAACAAATATCTTATAATACAAGTAAATTAATAATTAAATAAATAATTCGACTCACATTTCAGCTATTCTCCTGCACAGCAGCAAAGTTGTGAACTGTAAAATATAAATACATAGAAATTATATAGTGAAATATAAAATAATTTATATTTTAAAAAGTAAAATTAATTATTTACATTGAGTTTTTAAGTAAAGTAAAATTTAATTTTTTCTCTAATAAATAATCTAAATAATAATTTTTACACAATATATACAAATATTTTATAATCTATAAATATTAAACAAAATAATGCATAAAGAATGTAACATGTAAATATGAGTATTTAATTAAACTTAAATGAAGAATATAATAAATAAATAATAATATGATAAAATAATTAATAATTAAATTAATCACCATCATAGTCGTCCCGCCGTTGCCTGATGCCGCCCCGGGGTCTCCTCGTAGAAGACGCACTTGTACTTCGAAACACTTGCACTCGCGTTATTTTTTTTTCGTTCGCGACGCGCGGCGACGCTCGGGTTTTAATTATCACATTTTCGATGCGTTTTACAAAGCGAGAAAATCGCGGGAGCCTATTCGCGTGCGAATAAACCGATGCTTCATTTTCGCGTCGCCGCTTTTCTCAAAGCCTACTTATCGGAGGGTCCTTATCGAACGACGAAGACGACTTCCCCGCGACGCACTCAGAAGTCGCCGATATTCCAAAATTGAGAACAACACTTCATTATATGTTTTATATTTCTCACCGTAATTTAATGTTCTCATCGCGCGCTTTCGGGAGAACATTAATATTTCAAAAATTATATTTTAAATATATAATAATAAATATTATTATAAAATAATAAAGATATTGTATTCAGAGTAACTAATATTAAAAAACATTTCCGTCTTCTCCTCTCGAAAACTATAATATTGTATATTTTTATGCGTAAATACAAATCTGTAAATTAAAATCGTGTTTTAAACAGCGTAAAATAGACAACATTGTGAAATTTTAGCAAAGTTGGAAAAGACTCTTTCAGTATTATCAAAATTTCTGAAGAAACATAAGTCATTAAATATGAAATTAAGTCTTAAAAGAAACTCGCATAATACACGTTTCGCCACAATACCGTATTTCTTCGCGAAAGAAACGCGGTTAAACACCGATGAAGCGTAGACCGGAGATAATTCGCGCATTATCCCGACGTCGCAATCACGCGTAACGCTATTAAGGCTCGTTTCGCGCGTCAGTATTAATTCATCCCCCTGGTAGCACGACGGGGTAGCATCGGAAATTCCGCGCGCTACCCGCGTCAACGCGATTAGGGTTGTTTCGTCATGCATTTTCTCACGGTCGTTTCATCGTGCTCCTGCAAACCGCATAATAAATAACAATGCCGGAGCATTAAGCAATCTACGATCCGCGTTATTTCGCAGCTATACAAATATACGGCAGCTAGCTTTAAATAGTTGAATAAACAAAATAATAAGTATAAATCAAATAAAAGTATATATTAAATAAAATGAAAATTGTTGGCTATTCCAGTTATTATATTACATTTGTCTAAAATCTATTTCCTGAATAAAAACAATCAAATAATAGAGCAGTAGCTATAATTGATCACATCTTAATGTTAATTTTTATTTCTGTCACTGACCTCTTAAATTCGCCAATCACGATCAAAAATGACAAACTGATGATTTAAAAAAACGCAAAATTTTGCCATCATTATTTAACCCAAATTTATTCACTAATTTCTCGAATCGTTAATCCGTTGCATTAAAGTCAATGCAAACAGCCAGCAGCTCTGAACCGGGCACAATTCACGAATATTAAAATTATAATATATGTTAGAACTCACGGTTTTCAACGGTTGCTGCTGCATTTCTGGAACATGCATTCTCCATATAGCCCCTCCTTCACTGGTCGCAGTATATGCACTCGCGCTCGCAACGCGCGTGATATTCTCATTACAATGGAGCTGAAAAATTTACGACTAAATGACAACTGCACAGTTTCCACGAATTTATAATTTAAATATCATACACGTACTAATTGCGAAATGAAAACAAGAATTATATAAAGAGCACACATACATAAATGTAAGATAAATATTTAGTTTAATATCTCGAGTGAACGTGTGAAACATTCAATCAATAAGATTACGACGATCGCTATCAACATATCCACGAGCAAATTTAATCGCCACAATTTCAGTATTTTACACACTACTCGCTTGCACGACATTATACGCGAGTAAATTCTTGTTATTGTTTAATCCAGCAATAATATCGACTTAATGCGCAGAGATAAGCCAAACAACTGCAGACAAAACGCGTTAAATATTTACATATATACATATGTATGATATGATTTCAGATGTTCTACTAGACCTATAACTTATTCCTAAGTCAAACTACCGTATCTACAAATTTGGCTTGCGTCGGTATTTATATAACGTTATATATAGAATAATATATATTATTAAGAGCTGTTTAATTCATTATAAAACAAATATTCTATTATGTGAATTATAAACATGTACTAATAAATTTACGATGATTTTTACATTAGGTAAATCACACACATGTGTACATATGTATATACACTATACACATACTACACATAATATAAAAAAGTATAATATATTCATAGATATATCTTTTGCGAAATATAATAATATAAAAAATCAATATATTAAATTAACGTAAAATTATTAAAAATATTCGATGTAAAATATTTTTGCCGGTCTACTTAAATAGAATTACAAATAATAATAATTGTCGAAATATATATTACAATTAAAGAATATAATGATATTAAAGATCTAAATAAACGAATTCGTGATTTCGTAAAGTACTTAACTCTCTTTGGTCATTCTAATCTAAACTTTCTATTTGAGATTTCTGTCATATCACATAATTGCTATCTGTCTATTTTTTCTATTAACATCGTTATTATACTTTTATTTCCTATATTCCGCTTATCGCATTAACGTGACACGATTTTCGGCGATGGCAGGGAAAGAAAAAGGGAGTCGGGTAATAGCGATAGCGGGCACGCAAATCCTGATATCGCAGGGAAGGCGTGACTGCTTTTCCGCGTTGGATCTCGCGGCCGTGTCATTTAACAACGAATTAGCGGCGCGGTATGCGGGATTTGTCGGGTGTATTTGATAGCGTCACGCGAGATTAAACGATGTTGGCAAACACCTGGGATTATTTGTCCCGGAGAATATTGGATACGTGCCAGCTTTTCCAGCGTACCCCCTTAGGTCTTATAATCAAGATAAACGTTGTATCCACAATACGGCGAATCGGCTCGAAGAGCGGAGACGGCTTTTTTCGAAATAACAAATTTTCCCGGGTAAACATTAATCTCGGCGTAATATCGTTGTTACACGGGTACACGATTGCACGTATCGTAACCCATAGAATAGAAATAAATACGTTTTATATGCATATACATAAGCGAATCTCAAAATGGAAGATATGTATACATATATATGTATACCTAAAACTGCGCGATAAAAATAAACACTGTCGCGCGCACAACGCCGAGCGTAAAAATTGATTGAAGCGCGTGGAATTTGATTAAGCCTTGCTGCCTTCGCCGTGCAAACCGAAAAATTTTCCAGTAGGTAAATATTACTTTAATTTTTGAACATGTGTATTTAGCGAGCAGCAGTGTCGATGCGATTAACTATGCTTTACATCCATAAAATATGTTTACACGTTTGTTGAAATATTTTACAGAGATTCAGTTCTATCCAATTTTCCATTTAATAAAGTCACAAAAAAATATGTACATCATACAAATATGTATATAAAAACGCACAAAATTAAACGTTATGCGGTACGTTAAAATAAACCCATCTGTTATTGTGTACAGACATATGGGACAAGTAAAACGAGAACTGATTTCCGATATGATTTCAATAAAATATATATGTAATTTTGAAAATTTACCGAAATATAATATAACTTTATTTAACTTTATAAATTGTAACTTTATAATTATCGAAAATGCAATAATCCTCATTATTATAAATTCCAACGCAAAATTTTCGATTAAAGAAAATTCGCGTTAAATATCAATCATAAAAAGATTCGGCTGTGCGGGCACAGCAATAATAATTTGCGGCAACGAATGCAGTTTTGATTTCGGCGTTGCGGGGTTTAATAAACGCCCTTCCTTCTCTCTCGCGCGCAACGCGCGTAATTTAACGCGAAAGTGGAATATATTCGACGCTGATTAAAGCCGTTAAAAACAATTGCAATGGCAGGATTACGCGAATCGCGCGATAACGCGCGGCGATACGCGTGTAATAACGTCGTCTATAATCTCTATGTTATATTCGCGTGCGCGCAGAAATATCACCGTTACGATGTTCAAATAACCGGTTACACGACCCCCGTCGCAGAAATTTGTTCGCCAGTTTCCGGCAGCGTTGTCGTATTACACACAGACCACTCGAAATCTGACGATCGCGCAATAACGTTATATAATTCCCATTTCTCCGATTACATCCGATTTGATCTTACGCAAAAGCCGATAAAATCGAGCGATATGTTTTTCATTTGCGCATTAATCCGTAAAACCTACGATTAAAATATTCGGCCCGTTATGTCTACATTGAATAAATGTCGAGCGATATAACGCTCTGATTAAAGAAACGCAAATAACATACGCGTGAAATTGATCAATAGCGCGACAGAATATACGAAATCTGATTTAATAATAAGATAATTAAGGAGAGCGTGATTATATAACATACAAAGAGACAGAGGAAATTTGCCTCAATTGAGGAGAACAACAAGCGACAATGCAAATTAGCGACTAATTATTATAATTCAGGTAGGCGAAACAATTTAAAATTATATCGAGTACGCAGAAAATATGATAAATCAGTTTTATATATCCTATGCCGTTACAAAATACGCGCATCCACAGCACCGAGTATCCGCGCGCTGGATTAAATCCAAAAATACGCTTGATGAGGCCAATGTGATGCAAGTCGCGTATGCAGATACGAAAAATAAAAATGCCTGCGTTGATGGAATCCGCCGTGCTTTCATTTGCAATGTTCGTCAATTAAACTGGCTGATTTAATTTCTTCTTTCCGCATTCTCATTTCGCAGCTATCACGCGAATATTATATCGAACTGTCCCCGGCTGGTTACCAATTTAACAGAAAATTTCATTTTATCTAAAAATAACATTTTTTAATTTTTGCATCGGCTTCTCAATTGTGCTTCATCAAAACTGTAAAACTGAAATGATTTTATCGCGATCGCCAAATATACCATACATCCAAATAAAATTGTATGTAATTTACATAGAACAATAGAGTAAAAATTGCAGTAATTAAAAACGTTCACGCTAAAACGAATAATAATAGAGCTTTATTCACGAGCCTTATTTTTTTGCGTTCATTATTATGCGAAGGAAATAATGGTCCGTCAGTGCATGAGATTGTCTTTATCACTGCACGTGTCTGACAATAGGAGCACTTTTTCCACTGCGGTTGCGCGCAGCGTTGATTGCCATTTATTGAAAAATTCTAACATTATAATTTTATTTTTTCTTTTTCAATATTAAGATTTTGCATCAAGACATTCTCCTGAAACATTGTACTAATCGACGAAAAGATCGCCAAAATGCTTGAAAAATACTTGACGCAATCGGGACGATATGTTACAAGTTATACGACTCTAAGAAGAAACTTATCGGTGCAACAAAACTGAAGTAGGAACTAGTGAAAAAAGAGTAAGTTGAAGACGAGAGAAAAATGAGAGAAACAGGGAGATGAGGGGCGGCAGGAGGAGCAAGAGAGGCGGTAAAATGAAGTGAATAACTTCGGCTACGTGACTTTCTCGAGTATATCGAAAGATTGATACACTCCTTTCGTCACTGTTGCCGTCCCCGGTGAGACGAACATACCAGAGAGCCCTAACCCGATGGATAAAGAATTTACAGGGGAAACGCTCAGATAGCCAACTTGCTCTTTATCAGCTTCATGCGCTTCGTAACCTACCACATTGCTCTTTCGACGCAGACCATCGATCAGCATCGACACACCAAATATTCGCGATAACTCAAAGCGAGAAGATTAAATTATTGACGCCTTGTGATCATCGCTTTAATATATTTGAGCAGGTAATGCTTAGAATATTATATTCAACTAAATAAAAGTTCTTCAAAAATTTAATTATCCTTTTTTTCTATTTTTTTGCAACATTGCAACGCAATGATTGTGGCTATATATTTATACAATATTATCACAAATTTTAGAGTTTATTGAAAATACTTTATGTAAAAAATATAATGTGCTATCAACTATATAATTAGTCAGGTAATTATTATTATTAATATTACTTGTAATGATAATTCAAATTAGTTTTTTGTAGAATTAATTTTAACATATAAGAAACATAATCTCACATTTTATTGTACCACTTTTAATTTTCTTATTTGCATCGAGAAACAATGCAGGCGCGCTTTTATTCTTTGATTCACGACTGCGCATATTTTTGCACGAGGAAATATTATCTTGCGCGTACAGAGACAACGCGCGAAGCTTACATTTCAAATTCTTAATTTAAATAGAAAAATAAGCTTTATTTTTCGCAGGTAACGTCGCGAAACGTCACGCGCCTAGAAAACGCTTAAAACCGGCGTTGTTCTCGCGCTTCACCGGAAGTACATGTCACTTACTACAAAGCGGGACCATTTCTTGCCACGTATATTTTAGTTGACAGCTTTAAAAGAGACAATTATTGTTCACATTCTCATTGATATCACTTTCACGAAGAACGTTTTCAGAATTTCAAAAAAAAGAAAGTAAAATTAAAAATAGAAGTTTAAAATAAGTTTGCGTAAATTACTGTCATAAAATCTTGAATTTTTGTTGTCAAATCAAGATTATATATCTTTCTTTAAAAAAGAAAAAAAACGGAACTATTCCGGGCCCTGCTTATT